GGTACAGGAGTGCGGCTAAAATGTACAGGAGTGCGGCTAAAATGTAGACGAGGCGGACAAATCATATGCAAATCGAAACGAAAGCCAATCGTTACGTGGACCGAATTCTAGTGGACGCTATAAGCGAGTTCTGTAGCTCCTTCCTAGAACATGTCCAGGCCAGTCCGTTTTTTTTTTAATTTCCCATTGGCGCAAGGCTTAGCGTCTATGAACACAAAGTTGAACTTTCGATAACAAATTCTCACTGTGGGCTATCCTGTTTAATACTTATATTAAATCCAGTCTAAATCTTAATCGTAATATTAATCTTGATCTTAATCTTAATCTTAGTATTGATTTTAATTATAATCTTACTCTCAATCTTAATTTTCAGCTTAATCGTAGCCTACCACCATCACCAACCATCCTTTCTTCTTTCGCTTTTCCATTTCATTGAAGTTTATAACCAACACACCACACTTCCAAAAGCTCTCTTATCATAAACTTGCATTAGCAAGAACCTTCCCTAATATTTTCTAGCGTGCCATAAATGGTATTCCACCAGAAAATAGCAAATAAAAACCAATTATGTTGCACATACGAAAATCGATTAGCAAAAGCCAATTGAGTAGGTCAGAAATCGAAAGCGAAAGCAGAGGCAGGGCCAATGTTACACAGCCTTCACGCATTTAACGAACTACCAACAACATGTGACGATGACGAAAAATGTCATTTATTTGCGTGAATGTCAAATGCGAAAACACACACTCATGTGAATGTTTGATTCACATGCGTACGATACGCCGCATCGCCTACCAGCAGCTATTTACATACATAGTAGTAGTAACGCACTGTCGGCCATTGCAAAAAAACAGTTCATCATCGCTACTACTAAAAGTGACAGCTGCTTCGTTAGCGGCACTCACATTAAACTGATCGAACGAAGGACACAATGCTCGTCGCATTCGTATGAGCTCGTATGAGCTGTCCTTCAATGCCACTAAATAAGTGCGTATGTTTACAGAATTGCTGTTACTTTGTTAATAAATTGTCACTGCAAGTCATTGGCGTTGTCGCCCAGAGATAGCTCACCGTTAAGGATGCCCACATGCATTGCAACAATGAGTAATTACGTAGACGAAGAGGGTTGAGCGGCCCACTGAGTAGGACATAGTAAAGCCAACGCGTGTTGTAATAAACAATCAGCAACCAATCAACGGCGCTGAAAAGCTAGCAAACTAGGCAAAAAAATTGCTTTGTACGTCCCTCGCTCCTTTTCCAAACGCGCTGGATTTGGACGCTGTTGAACTGTTCCACTAAGTTTTGTGTGCACAACTACTATTAAGACAGTTGAAAGGCGTGGCTCTTTAGCTGTTGCACTCCATTAAACCATTGCTGATTATCTGCTGAGGAAGAAGTAAAAAAACGCTAGCTAGCAAAACAACTACTAATGCAACTACAACTACAGCAAACTAACTCGCCACTGGATCAAAAGCTTAACGCAGTGTTTCTCTCTTGCTAAATTTTAGCGACTTTCAACAGTGTTGTCGAAAGCTCATGGTTACAGTAGCTAGATATCGGCGATAATTTCTGTTTCTGTGTTTGTTCGAATATCCCAGTCGGCAAAATTAGAATAAAGGTATCTTCCAGGAGCCCTTATTTTCTTGATTTTTGTTATCCCTGTTAGGGCCTTCGAGACCTACTGATTCTGATATTTTTTCTTTCGTTGCTATGCTACCATAGATTAGATATATATTTTGGGCTTCATGACCGCTGTAGTGTATATCATGAGGACGTGGTGACCATCCAGGGGACAGCACGGAGTCTGGCTAAAACCTCGAAACCAGTCTACGATTTCGCGGCAGTAAGGAAGCTCACAATTACAAAGTCAAATATTGAAAGTAGTAAATCTTGGAATAAATGGCTCACAGTCAAAGTTTTAACTCTTGGGGATACCCAGGATATTGTGAATAATTGCATACGGACAACCACATCCTTTCGGGAAACGACAAGGTAGGCATGCCTATTTACACGCAGCTGGTTAGGGATCACACAGCTCTAGCAGCTGATGAAATGTGGAACAAACTTTCGTCCTCTAAAGCTTCCAGGATTATCTGGGCTTCTCCTAACAGGAAAATAATATTGTTTCTCTTAATTTTAATCAAGAAAATAAATGTTCTTCCTTATAAGAACTTTAACGAGCCTCTGCCTTATTAGCTCACATTTTAGGCACACACAAGGATAGACCGCTCGGACAATTATAGTTGCAAATACAAAAAATAATAGTTTCTAACACCTTCTACGACAAGGCCCGCCAGTAAGCGGAAGTGGATTGCGCACGCAGTCTTTTTTTTTTGAAACTATAACTGTCAAAAGTCACGCGTATGCCGAGACACAGACTACTGCCTTGATGACTGAAGATACTTCGCCTTTGCCTCGTTACTTTAGGCCCACAGCTTTGACTTCACCATCCAACTTAGAAAAGAAATATTTAGTAGACAGTGCGATTGTTATGACCGATGGTGTGTGCGGATCTTCCCCTCACGGGTCATTTTCACGATTTGTGTATGTTGGATTTATCGGGTCTAATGCGAGTCTCATAGGGCCAGTATGGTCGCCTGGCGTTGGGCTTTAGTCTTTCAGACAGCACGCTGGTTAAAAAAATTCTGTGCCGTGTTCATTAAACTGAATTTGTAATATTTAGTTTGCACAGCTACCCTTCCTTTCGACCAACTATACTCCGCACAGGAGTTGGTGCATGCACCTCACCAGCTTCTGGGCGCCTTATATGAAGAGCTAAGCTCGCAACCTATTGGCTACTTCCAGCATCTTTGTTATTGTTATTTTTGTACAACATTACTGCTACTCGAAATCGGAATTGTCGGTGAGAGGAATATAGATTCCATCATTCCCGCTTGCCGCCTCAGGGTCTTCGTGTTCTCCCCAATTTTTTGACGCAGCGCCATTCAGCAGAGTGGAAAAGTCTTCTTTCAAAAGTTTGACTATGCTTTGAACAACAGTCGTCAGTTCGCTGTTCTCGTTCTTACAATAATTCGCCACCACCTTAAAAGATTCGATATATTACCGCACTTTTTGATCGAATTTTGGAACGTAAAATCTGTCAACCAGCTCCCCAAGCTTTTTGAACTTTTACGGCCAGCGAATAGTAGAACTGTTCTCCTTTCTCAACTCCTCGTGTTCGATCGAAGCTTTATTCTGTAAACAGCATCTGTGCTTTTAACTTCAGTCTGAAATAACAGGTCTAATAGCTTTTTGTTTTAGGCTCGCAGAAATCCATTACCTGCCTTGGCGACGGTGCACAGGAAACGAGAAAAAATTAACACATTACTCGCGAGTTTCGGTCGCTGAGCAAAGCTTTCTGAACGCAGCAGCGAGAATCGAGCGGCGAAATGTCTGGCTATCTGTTCTGATTGGCTAAGGCTTATATTTTTTTTGCTGCGCGGAAACAGTAATTGAGTCAATGTCGGCCCTTCGGATTGTGCGTACATCTCAAAAACAGGAAGAATATCTATCACCTTTCTTGCTATATCTTCAGATAGCCAGGCGGCCATAACGGCCTTATCCAACATGTCCATCACCCCTGGGCGCGACAAGGAGTGCTTTGACATTATCCAACTCTTGGCAGTATGGATCACGGTAATACTATGCTGGGTACTAGGACACTGAGGGATCGTAGGTGACGAGGTCACCGACGAATTGCCTAGGGAAGGCTGATAGTCTGTACTTGAGGGGCCGGAACCGTTTTGTGGACTCAGTTGATCGTCCTCGAGACTCATAAGCGGCTAAACCCGAAAAGCGGTAAGTATTCGCGAGAGGTAGCGGGCTTTAGACAGGCCAGACCCTGAGGTTCGAGAATTCATCTACCAAGAAACTTTTAGCTTTTATTAGGGAGGCCGATAACATCTTGGGCTGTCAGTGTTAGGTACCATCGTGGGGATACCAAATATCTTTAAGGTCGCGGTGTCGCTTGTTTCTTTTGAACCCATTGAATTTGCATTTACAATATCACAACATAATATAATCATATTTTTCGATCTGGGGACAGTGCCACTGTTGGACCAAAGAAACCACATAGGCCCACCCGGTCATTAAAGAAGCCAAAGCACGATTTTAGGTCATCGCGGTTTTACCGTTAATAAGCGCCCTCTCAGCACTTAAGCTATCGATGGACATTGGATTTAATCCTGGAAATATTTCTCTAACGCCACATCACTGTCCACCACCTTGTACGAGCGACTGTCAATCGCACTCCGACAGAGGCGCTCTCCAAAGACGCGCTCACAAGCATTTAGCCGCGCCTCACTTTTGATCGTTGCCATTGCTGATAGCAGCTGGCTAGCTGTCCCAGCCGCTCTACTCACTACAAGCAAACAATCACAGCTATTTGTGGCTTTGTTGTTTTACTCTCACCATAGCGGCGGGCGCTGCTTTGATATCAAACCGGTTAGCTTGAGTCGCCACCCGGGCCCTGCCGCATATGAGTAGTTACAAAAACAAAACACATGAACAAATCAATAATGCCCGCCTCCTTCCATATACATACATGCAAGCGCACACATGCAGGGTTAGAATAGTTGTATGAGTGTGTTTTTCCCCCTTATAGTTGTTGGTAAGTGAGCGCCACACTGTACTCCATTACCACCACCATCATGTAGCTGCAATAACAACAACAACTAATAAGCGCGCAAACAAACACAAAGGAATACAATCCAATCGCGTGGCGGCAATTCGCTATCGTCGCGTTTTTGTTGTTGTGCGCAATAGTTGTGTTTTTGTATTTTCTTTTGGAAAGCGTTGTTGTTCGCTTGCCTTTATATTGTACTTCATTTGTATTTTCTAGTTTTTTTTTTAATTGTTTTTTTTTGCTGCTTGCTTGATAGCAAACCAGTTCCGTAGTGTGGCGTTGATCGCGCGCGCGTTTTTTGCCTTTGCGCGCTGCGCCACAACGCGGCTTTGTTAATTTATGCTCGCGCGCTCTTTTAGTTGTACACCGAATGTCGTGCGGCTTGATCGCCAGATTGCGGCGCGAGTGTATTTTGAACCCGATAAGCAAACGTCCGTACGTATCATTGCCGTATTTTTTTTTCTGCAACACAAGCCAACTACAAAGCTTGCGCCTCATACAAACAAGCTGAAACTAACGCAAGCAAAGAATCGACTCCCGTCGGATGTTAGTCAACTGGCTAAACATAGAAACGCGCGCGAATACTCCAACAAAACGAAATGTTTTTGGTGCAACGGCGGCTTCGGTGCAACGAAAATACTAGTATACCTAAGCGAATAGGGAAGGTGGGCGCACATTTTGGAACCTTTTGAACTTGCTAGCCCCACGCGCTAACAGCAGCCGGTTGTAGGCGCGGCGCGCAAACTTTCGGTTCGTTGGGATTTAGTGCGGTGGTCGAATATTTAGATACCGATTTCGTTGCGCAGATGAAACTAAAGAAAGTTTTTGAATATTCCTATAGTGTTTTTCGAATAATCTCAATTATGGCTGTGTAAAAGTCTTGGTGAAAAAGTTTGAATAACAGCCAAATTAAACATGGATTAATACAGTGCAATATAAAAAATTAGAAAAACCAAATTGTAAATTTAAATAAGAAAAGTGAAGCAGTTACAAAGCAAGTGTATGCAAATAAACAAAAGAAGTTTAAGTTCCTAGTGGGACACTGAGATAAAACTGCAAAAATGGATATGACTAGCGCGAATTCGTTGAATATGCGACCTTTCTTTTCAGGATATCCTTTTCAAGGTAAACCAAAATGCTCTAATTTTATGCATTAAAAAATTAGTTAAGGAAAGTCAAAGTTTGGAGCAAAATATTTTTTATAGCTTTTTATATTTCAACACCCAGCTGGCGAAGGCTTGTTTCCAATTCGCTGGGAAATAGGCACGCGAGTAGTTTACACAGTGTTTATACATACATTTCCAAAACAACCTATTTTTATAAGCTTTTATTTAACTTGGTCATCCCGCGGAAATCGCGGAAATTTCCAATCGATTTTAAACTAACTTCCCGACAAGTTAGAGACTTGAAATTTTCAGCATAGTTCCAGTCACGATGACAATGCAATTTAAAATATAAATGAATTCCCCATATGGTCCAGGAGTCTTGATTCAAAGGCGGTCAAAAAATAGTAAGATTTATGGCTAACAGAGCGTAATTTGCCAAAGAACGTAAAACCACCATAAAATTGTTAAAGCTGCCGGCGATAGTGTAGCAAAGCTATTTGTGGCAAATTCTAGATATCAACCTAGTCTAGATATGAACCTCGTTGTTGGAATTAGAAGACTCCAGATGTCGCCCCGACAGAAGAAGTTAAATATTGCGCCTAAATATATGCCATTTACATATGCTACAGCGGAAATGGACGACACGCCATTTCTTTAAATGAAATTAACTGCTGCTATATGTACATGTGTATGTTTATACAAAACGTAAGCAAACATTTTGCTTGCATAGTCTTCTGTTCTCTTTCATTACAAGTTGAATTATTTTAATATCTATTGCAAAATTTTGTAGATAAAATAAAATAACACTTTTTAATATACAACACTTTTATAAATGGACTAAAAATTAGAAAATAAAATAATGTAAAAAAAAA